CCCCCCTAACTACCCCCTCCCCCCACCAGCTAGCTCCTTCTGCTACATTGCTCAAAGGATACAACATATAGTATAGCACAATAATATACTTACCAAGAAGGGTGTAGATGGCCGTAATTACAAGGATAATAGCAGCAGAAATGTAGATATCCCATCCCACTGCTTCATAGAGGAAAACACTTCCAGCATAAATATCAACCTATAAAAAGCAATGCAGCAAATATTCATAAAGATATTAATAAATAAAATTGAAAATAAATTACCACAATTTTTTTTTCAAAAATGTGGGAAGCAAACTGCCAAGATATCATTTTTCTAGTTGTGAGGACCATTTAAAAAACATAAAATTGCTGCTTAAGTTTTCTATTAATTTTTTTTTTGCCTCTGGGAAGTATTGATAACCTCCCACACATGGTTATTAAGTTGTTTAAATGATTTTCATTTTATGCTCCATGATGGTTGAAAAGATAATTATCAAAATGAAACAACAGTGGAACCATTCAGATGATGAATGCTGGTCATTGTTGGGAGAAGATTTTTTGAGTTTCATCATAATCAGAGCTTTCAATATATGGATGCTTCAGGCAGTTCATCGCTGAATACTTCACCTTAAACTGCAGGCTATTTTGACAAAAGATTAATTCATTGCCAAATAAAGTTATATACAAACACCAGTGGCTTCAGTCCCCTACTTTTTAGGACTAACCGTCTACTACAAATATTATTGAAAGCTCTGCATAATTAGGCATTATCCAATGCTATAGGCTTCACCATATGATGTTCACTGAGTGAACCGACTAAGAATTATGCCCTTTGTTAGCACAGATTGAGGGTAAGGGGCTTTGATAGCAGCTTCTACAGAAACACTTAATTACTGTAATTCACCTTTTCGGCACTAGCTCGGATTGTGTTATGGTCACCAAAAAGTTCATTGTTTTCGGGTTCCCATACAAATTCGCTGAGTTTAAAGAGAAAATTTAGGTACAGACTTCTTTAGTTAGCTCTCTTAAGAGCAGCAGGAAAAGCTTCAATCAAGCTAGAAAAATGATCTTTACTTGTATTTAGAGAACTAACTAAACGAACCAAGTAAATAGTTCATTTAAAGTCAGTACATTTGTACGGAAATTCAAGAACAATGTCCGAACTTTTTAGTGATAGTAACACAATCTAAAACAATTTATACTCCATGACAGCTAGCGCCGAAAAGGTGAGTTGTCAATACTGGTAGTCTTTCCCAAAGGTATAAATACTTATGGTTGGAGAGATGAATATGGTGAAAGGGGAAGTATGTATTGTATACTTACGGATGTTTTGGTAAATACATAAGAAATGAGAGCTACTGCAGTCAAATAGGTCCGGACCCAACGACTCTGGAATCGCTTTTTTAAGTATTCAGGCATGGTAAATACCTAATAAACAGAACAAAAAATGTATATAACATCAGTCAGGTATCCAAGAAATATTTAATCAGGGTTTGTACAGGATCCCCAAAAAGCTTTCCAAAGTTTTTTCGCTAAAACTTCAAAAATCACACACAATGCTGTCCAAAACTTTCCAAAACCCATACAAACCCTGTTTAACACACAATATTATTATAAGCAAGTCCAACAAAGCTATCTTGGTTTTTGGCTAAAAACCAAGATATTTTAAATCATTTTCATAGCAAGCTGCATCGCCAGTCAACTCTTGCTTTGCGGAAACCTCAAAATTAAAGATCCCAAAATCCCAAGCCAAAAAAAAAAAAAAACTGACAACAAAAATGACTGGCAAAATCATTCTTGCTATTGAGAATTGTTGCTAAATATGGACACGAGTGACGGTCTCAAGATACGCAGATGCTATTAGTGTACTTGAGTAGGGGAGTGAGCGTTAATTGGGCGATGACATTAATGGTGGCTGCATAGAAGACAAGTCTAAAGTGTTTTTTTGATAACAACAGACAGCTGTAAAAATTGACCTAAAACTCATGACGCTCTTCATACAATCTATTAGCTTTTGATTTTAACCCTTTCACTACTAGAGATGCTTAAAGAGGCCAACTGGAAATGTGAAATTATTTTTCCTAGAAGTGGCTAAAAGTGGCCAGCGGATAAAACTTTTTTGCTTCTCAATTGCCCATCCCCTAGGATATTTCTATGTGTTGAAACACGTGGGCTATTGTTTTTTGGATCATTAACCAATCAGATTCTATCAAGTGCTTTGATGTTTTATAAGGCCTCAATATCTACTGAGCATGTGTTTTTACTTTGATATTGAGAAATAAAAAACACCCTAATTATGTTCCAGGAAGAGCCTGTGTCTGACCCTTTTAGCCTCTAGTAGTGAAATGGTTAAAGTTATGTGAACATTTTGACATGTTTTTTGACTTACCCTTGACTTCAGGTAGATTGGTACGAAGACCCAGCCAAGAAGGAGCAGAATCCAACAGGCCTACAAGACATTAGTAATCATGTGTAACTGCAGGTATAAACACTGATCTATTTACTATACATACACAACTAAAATTGCAAGGGTTGATAATCAGTCATTTAAACATTTTTAGCAGTTTATGCAAAATTCAGGTAATTTTTAAATATTTATTAATTCATAACAAAAATACAACAACATTATGACAAAAAAAAAAAAAGAAACAAATAACGGAGAGAATATTATAATTGGGAAATGACATGGTGAGGGGTGGGGGGGGGGGTGGGGATTCCTGTGTCCTAGTTGTCCTAGTTGACATTATTATTCCCCCTTATACTCATGTATGACTGAGCCTTACAGTCTTAGATTTTTAGTATTTAGTTTTATCAACTTCTGGACTGAACTAAGTAAGGGCCTAGGCTAACTCATAGACAAAATGCATTGTATAATTTGCTGTATTAGTTTTTGCATTTGCATTTCCCAAACAATGTGAGTCCTACTGTAACAAACCCTTCTCAGTAAAGTCATGTTTATGAATCAAAACTTCTCTAGACCCAAGAGATTAGAATTTTGTAGAATGATAGAATCATATATAGAGGATGGCGACACATTCCTTACCTGCCATTCGTATGACACCACACCGATACCAGTAGCTGCACCAGAGCCGGCTAGCCCAACAAAATGTTCACTGCCGATGTTACTGGCAAAAAGACTGGGGCCAACCTGTGAACAAGGCAATATACAATAACAAATTTTTAAAAATGCTAAAAGCGCAGGAGGAAACCAACAAGGTAGGCAAGCTTCTACTCTTTTGGGACTTGTGAAGGGGAGTTGTTAGAAATTCTGCCAGAGATAAGTTACTCAGTCGCAGCATGGAGTGAAAGCTGTAATCAATCTAGACTCTTCCACAGTCTCTCGCTCGTCCGTTCCGTCACCCAGCGTGCTTTTGGAACCAAAATACTCGTACACAGTCTCTCTCATTTCAATATTTTCAAGATGACGGCGACAACGAGAGAGACTGTGGACGAGTATTTTGGTTCCCAAAGCACGCTGGGTCCAAGTTACAGTGTCTAAGCATGGAGACGGAACGGACGAGCGAGCGACTGTGAAAGAGTCTATAATCAATCTCTAGTAAAGCCAAATTAGTATGCAGATCACAATGTTTCACCCCATCAAGTAAGCTAGTTTTGTTTGTCAGATACAGTAAAAAGATACCAAAAGGGGCCTAAACAAACAAAATATAGAAAAAAAATGTTTGTTTTTGATTTAATTTTCATTTGAAAGTAGCTTATGAGTACTAGACGTTGACAACAATCATTGATATTGGACTCCTAGTCAGTCATCCACTCACATATTTTTTCCTGAATGACTTCAATGACTGTGCCATTGATGTCATAAATGCCAATTTATACAAAGCATTGGCAAAACCCTGGGGGGTGAAATTAGGTGACTTGAAACCCCTTTTGAATTTGAAGAATAATAAGAATAAAGGGTCAGGCAAAACTTATTTAGGATGCTATATGTGAATCCTTTCTAGGTTACTGAGTCGCCCCCTCATTCTGGATCTGTCAGTGTAGAGTACTGGCACTCCAAATGTTAAAGTAATTGTCAAGCCACCATTCATTACAGTCAAGTAAAACTCATGCATAAAAGCTATTTAATTAAAAATGTATAAGGAAAACACTGTGAAGGTCAAAAACTTACCGCCCACCACATCATAGATCTTCCAGCCAAGAAATAACCTTCGGCTGTTTCGGTTTTGCCTCGGTTCTTTCTGAATTTAGACTGGAATAAAGTCATACAAAAATAGGATTAATAATTTTTCTATCACAAGCTACAATGTTAGAGAAAGACGATTCATAAGATTTAGTCACACATTATATAAAAATCAAAATTTATAGCATGCGTTGATCAAGAAATACAACCTGATCTTGTTCTATTAAGCAAAATAATTTCATAAACTTGAACTCAAAAAAAGATGCTTTGTCACTGCTGAAGTTGGTCAAAAACATAATTTTTATTAAAGTTTATAGCAAGATAAAATTCAAATCTAATTCTTTATAGTGTCTAATGTATGAGCTTTAGGTTTTTTGTAATCCTGATAAAAACTTGTGTTTATGAGCCTTTCAGTAGCTTCATGTAAATTATTATCTTTATTAGTTAAAGTTAAAGTTCTTGTAAGTAATATATTATTATGATTATTTTTAACATAAAGTTATGTCTTTGCTCTACAGTTCTATATTTTTCTTTCATTGTATATAATAGTGGTCAAGCTTATTAAGCACCTTAGCTATTCTATCATTTCTTTAGGCTGTCAAACGAAATCTAGACATTGCCGATTGACTAGAGTGCTTACCACATATCCTTGAAAAAGTTAACTAACAAAATTGTACAAATTAGTGCAAAGTTTCTAAGGTCTACAGTTTACTGAATTTACTAAAATATTTTCACAGACATAGATTATGCACTCTAGTAAATCATAAAAGCTGATCAACAGGTGGTAACGCTGCCTCTAATATATTATAAAATGTTGTAGTGACTACAGACACTTTTCTGTTATCAAAGGCATTAATAATTTATGAGGAAAACACAATAGAAATCACGACCGTGAAGAGTTCTGTAAAACAGATACAGAATCGTGTTCATTTGCATAAAATTTAACTTGGATTTTCTTGGGCAGATTCACTTTAATTTTGAAAATTTTAGTGAAACACAAAGGAACTAACCTAGACGTTTGATAAGCAATCTACAGTATTCATGTCCGTGTTGTATCCGATATACAAACTCGAGGCTACGCCTCGAGTTTGTATATCGGATACAACACGGCCACTCATACTGTATATATTACTTGTATGTTTATTTTTGATAAAGCATGGTAGAGGCACTGTTCATTGTCTCTTATCTGTACAGCATGTCAAGAATAGAGAATAGGGATATTTTTTGAATCAATGATTCCATTGTCTTTAGTGCCATCCACTCTAAACCAATGCTCATTAATAAATTGAGTGACATATTACGAATTGCAAGTTATTTAATATCTTAAAAGGAGTATTTGAATGGCATGGAACTTTCTAGACACAAGAGAAAGTGAAATGTTTTAAAAATCATTGCTGTCACTGCTAATATCTCAAGGCATTCATTTAGAAGCTATTCCCCTCTTATCTGGGCAAGGTTGTGCAAAGGGTGGATATTCCCTGCTAGCAGAGTCTCTCTTCTCTTTCTCTCCCTTCTTTCAGGTGAAAAGGAAGGAGACTCTGCTGATGTAGAGCGTTTCCTTTGATACACCGCCGTCCATGATCGTGGATGAACAAAACCAGTTTAAAACCGGTTTTTAACCAATTACACATAGTGCACATGAGCAAACGTAACACACCGTGGTGCCAAACATTGTTTGGTTAGAGCGCCTGTCAAAATCATGACAGCGTTGCTAAGTTACGCAACGCATGCGCGACAGGAATAAGGTCCTACATCGGCAGAGTCTATTTTTGTCTCTCAACCAAAACAAAAGGAAAATAGGCTCTGCTAGCAGGAAAGGGTGGGTAGTGCTGTCTGACAGATAAATCTTATTCACTGGATAAATTTATTGGATTAACAGCATCCACTTATACACTGATGGATAGTGCTATCCACAGCTCCCTTCTGACAACCAGATATTAGCTAGTTTTTTGTCAATTTTCGTGACAGACAATCAAGACCCTGGCGTTTAATCAAGAAAATATTCCTTGTATTGATCCAGGTAAACAATAAGCAATTATAGTGTTCACACTACTGTGAAAAATGAGTCAATATTGATTTATTCCTGTTCGCAGATGCCTTTAACAAATTTACATAAGAAGTATGATAGGAATCGGGGCATAACGGGTTCGACGCCTTAGAACTATATAATCAAATAATTGATAGAAGCGTCATATGTTTGCTACATCTTTCACTGATCAAATGTAGTTAAGAAGATTCACTGTCTTATATCAGCGTGACATTAGTAGGTGTTGATATTTTTATATCGAGTTCAAACAAGGTGCGAACAGCTTATTGAATGCCTCAAGTGTTGCCGAATAACAGCATTAAATCTTAAACTAAATATACTAAACTACTGCTCAACAGCATTGGGTATTTACTATCTAAACTACGAAATGAAAATAACTGGCAGAGCTCGACAGCTATTTCTTGATTGCCTTACACGAATAGGCTTAAATTTATGTTAAGCTTTACTACATTGTTTACAACCGAAAAATTCAAAATACTTCCACCAGGAAAGTCTATCATGAAGATTTAACTTTTGAACTTTGTATTAACCTAATAAAAGGCGATAGAATCTTGATATTTATAAAGCGCCTTGGCTTAAATTAGATTTTTTTACGTTTATACAATAAAAATCGGTGTTTGAGATTGTTATCTTGGGCGCGAAAACAATACGATTCATTGGATTCATTGAAATCTACAAACTACCTTTACAGAACAACTTTTTTCGCAAAAAAGGCTTCTTTTTCGCCATTTCCTGCTAATTTATAAACGTTAGGTTTTACTATCAGGGATGCTAGGGTGTCAAATTACAAAAAAACTGGCTTTAAAATTAAACAACTCGGCCACATGGTATTGTAAGAGCAGTTGTAAGAGCGGCAGGTTCATTCAGCCAAGCGCTTCACACCGAATGGCTTCGAGAACAAAAATATTCGCATTATTGCTGTTACTAGGAAAATGTCTATCTAAATGTCTGAATCAATATTCTCATGACAGTCCCAAACACAACAGAATACGAATTGTACATTATCATATTCCACGTTGGCACTTTTCAACATCAACAAAGCGTACACAGGGCAAAGTACAAAGTTGGTTGAAACGTAGCAAACATTTACATATCCGTACTTACAATAAGCCCTACGCCAAGACATAGTACGAAATAGGCGCCAATAATGATCCAGTCGCCAACTTTTAGCGACTGCGATTTCTCGTCAAGAAGAGTCATTTTCGTTGAATTTCACTTGTTCGTAAATCCACTTGTTCTGAGATTTCACGCTGGCAGGAGCAGCCACGTCGCAAGGGAAGAAGCCTACTTTTTATTCTTGTATTTAAAAAAAAACCAGCTTTTTAACTTCAAGCCTTTAGAGATTCTTGTAGAATCGAGAATTTTGTCTCCTATCGTTTCTAGAGTGTCTTGGTTTACTATTTTTTAGTATGAGATCGAAGTAAATTCACCATTAGTTACTGCGTTGTTGGTTGTATTACTCGGGATTGATAAACGATTGCATTTTGTAGGCAAGCTAGAGGCGGGTTTGGAGGCGTGTTTGACAGACCATTGTGACGTATGATAGACGCTCCTGATTGGACAACGACTTTGAAAAACCGGTTACTACTAGTTACTACAGGTTTTCATTATAATTTACCATCTAAAAACTGAAGCAGAATGGTACATTTTTCATCAAATGTTTTTTTATGTGTATTTTTCGTGTAAATTCATTCGTTTGTGGTTGAGTATTGGATATCCTTTACGTTCAAAAAATCACTTTTTGCGTTCTCATCTTATTTTTTGCGCGATATTTTGAGAAAATTCTCTGAATGACTTATGACGTCACCTTGTTGATATTTTTCCATTTCAGCCAATCGTTAAGGGACATTTTAAAATTCAATCTATTTTCTCTCGGGCTGCTTTAAGAGTAAATTCAGCTGGATTTGCCTTCATTTTTTCGATATTTTGTAATAAAAAATAAATTCGAATGTCACCAAAACCATAGCAAATGATTGTCATAACGAAAGGACTTTAACTCTCAGTTCCAGGGACAAAAGTGGGTTGAAATAATGAGAAATTGCACGTAGTAAACAGCGGATTTTCTAGAGTGAATTCATACTTAAGTCTCGTGACTACTTATTTCATATCTTCCTCCTATGTACGTCAGTGACTGGTGACTAAAGGCTTTTCAATTCTCATAGTAAACGATAAATTTACCATGTATCTGTATCAGTTGTTTTCTAACCTTTTTTCGCGAAGACTACTTCAAATGAAAATATAATATATTTCAAAGCTATTTTTTTCGGGAGAAAGTCTAGAATTATCCACAAGATAATCCAAACCACAATTTTTTAAAGTTTAATCTACGTCTACGAAAAGTAAAACGTCGTATAGAGAATTGTTGCATAAAAGTTGAGTCTTCGTTTGAAAAAAACGTTTCTAAGAACCATCTGTCTTAATTCATGCATTACTTTATTTTATTTTGTTGGGTTTGTCTCTGTTGATGCGTCAAACTTTTAAATTTTAAATGTCTTATATCAGTTCATACTTCAAATTCAATAATAATTTATTTTTTGGCCTAAAAATGAATACGATTAATTCTTGGCAAGAAATGGTTAGTTGAAAAGGACCAAAATTAGAAGTATATTGTATAACTCGTGTAAGTTTAGCTAATATTTGTATTTTATTTATTTAAGAAATGAAATATTTCACATCAATATATCTTCTTCTTTTTAACTTCATCGATTTTGTTGATTTGTTTACTTATTTTATTTTATTTTATTTTGAATTTTCTCGCAATAATTTTTTCCGTTTACTCATCATCAGCTTGATCATGCGGTCTGTAAAGTGTCCTATAATACAATTTATTCTTGCACGACTTTACAAATACCATTATTTCTCTTTTCAGTTTATTTTTTGTTGATACGTATAATTGTATTTCAAGTTTTTGATCTATTTTATCCCAATAAATTTCACTGAAAGTTATTTTTCAGTCTTTAATATTTAATTTGCATCTCTCGTTATCGTCTACAAACTAGGAATATATTTCATGTTGATAAAATGCCGACTTTGAAATGGCGTCTTTTTATTTTGACCAGAAAGACGTGACGTCATATCCCCAGTTTAGCTTGCATGCGCTGACAATAGCAACTATGACGTCAACTGGGTTAATTAAAGAAACTCTTCCAGACGTCTTAAGGTATGTGGTTGTGCATTTCGGCATGCATTCCGAAGATTCCATAGATTCCATTTTATCATAAATCTCGTGAAGACAACCAAATTTCTTCCATTCAAACAGTTTTCCGTATTTTGTATCAAATAATAAAAACCTTATCGTTTTTAAAATTAAAAAAAAAAAAAAACAACATTGTTTTGGTATGAGATCCGTGTGAAACAGCGCGAGCAGGTAGATGGCTTTCTTCTCGTATCGTCGGAATTCGAATTCAGTTTTTAGCCAATCACGATGCATGTACGTAGAATCTCAATTATCTGTTCATTTATGAATAATATTTTCTTCATTTCTCCTATCGAAGTTCTTCAAATCCATCCCTATCCTATTGTTTTGCTATCCTGCTTTCCGCGTGACAATAAAAAACACTTTAACTCGATAAGTGACCATCTTGCCTCGTACCTTTGCCACAAATTAAGTGAGGGAATTCGAACGGCTATCACGTAACATGCAGAATATAGTAAATTTTGAAATATTTTTCAAATATTTTCGTAATTCATCAGTCGTCTCGTTTTATTTTAGGCATGCCACTATCAAAGCTACACCAATAATACAGTAGTATTCGCTGCAATGATTAATCCAGTAACAACAGAGGAAACAGCATTTTGCAGATATTGAGAGATATATATAACTGACGTCAATTTTTTATCGTAATAATTGATAAAAATCATTACGGTATCATTTGATAGTATAGATAAAATAAAGTTGTTAGGTTTAATGATCTTCCTACATAGACATGCGAAGAGGACTGTGCAAAATGGGATATCGTTCAGAATTCAGGCGTCAGGTACATCAAAACGTTTGAGTAAATTACGGTTATTGGCACATTTCAGCTTACGTTCTTGGCGCGTTTTTGACATTAATTTTCAGTCCAATCAAAACATTCTCTTTCTGCCAACGAATGTACACATTTTGACAGCTTTCAAGAACGCGGTTGCAGAAATATTCAAAGAAACCATTTATAAAGAATAAGAAAATAACTCGAAGTGCTTAACTTGGTTGTCTTGCTTGTCGACAACGTTAACAGCCGTTTTATTGTGGTAGTGATGTTGAGTGGCGTTGTGTTTCATGCTTTTGTTGAAGGGATATTTGTCCGAACGAGCAAAGGTCGACACTGATTGTTCAAATGTGGTTGGCGGTTAGTCTAACTAAACCCTCCCTAACTAAGGCATTTCTGATATGACAATGACAGGTATGGCTTACTTTTTATTCCTTCTATTCTATTTGTTACCAACAGTCCAATTCTTCGATCCTTTTTTGACAATTAATACCGTCAATTTGAAGCGAAGCTACGCTAAAATGCAGTCGGCACGTGACGTATTTTAACTATTAAAAAATTCTCGCTTAAAAATAGGTAAGCAAGAATTCATATGTCTGTAGCTTTTCGAAAGACGTAGACTATAAACAGCATCGAAAAGGAAACCAAAAGAGTCTTAATTTAGCAAGTCGGGATTTCCGCTTCCTTATTCGCCATACATGGAATCGAACTAACAAATTGGATTGTAATATATGTGACAAACTTTCGATTTCATTTTCGTTTATATTTGCGGAAGAAGTTACGATGCAACACCACAACACTCAACATGTCATCATGAATTGGATAAACGCTTATCTACCAGCACGTATTAAAAGCGTGCCTTCCATTGAGTCCGTCTATTGCTTTGGTTCCGCTAGGCAAGAACTCTGAAAAAAGAACTGTCCAGCTGCCGTTAAATTCTTACTGAATTTCGCATGGTTAGTCATTCTGAATCAATTGTCGGTAAAATTGAAGTGAATTAATTTTAGAAAGAACTGATATTTTTTTTGATAACCGTCGGCTTGTTTGTTTTTGTTTTTTTTTTTTTTTTTTTTTTTTTTTTTTTTTTTTTTTTGCTTTGGTTTTCACTTTTATTATTAATAATATAACACAATTGTCTATATTTGAGTCCAAAGTCTGCTCTGTTTTAGCCTTAACCTCGTGTAAACTTTCGAAAAGTCTAGCAAAGTTTCAATGGCAATTCATGACTTTTGTCTCAAAACCTAAGGTAAAGCGACTCGCGACTACGCACTTCAGTGTCCTATTCATTTAATATTAATACTGCCATGTGTCTTTCCTGTTTCCGCTGGCACAAGAAGGCTTTCAACTATCAAGCTGTCAAATTCTCGTCATGGACTGAGAGGCACTACAGACGATACAAAATCGAGTCATAGCAAAATACAAAAAGTTGAAGCACGGAATAAAAGCCGTGAATAAAAAAAGTTGTGTGAATAAAACAAGAACTTGATGAGACAAAATAAAAAATAAAGTGTGATGTGTAAGACATTAAAAAAAGGAAAAACATAAAAACAAACAAACAAACAAAAGAAAAATTTTAAAAATGATGCAGAAGAAAATATGCAAGTAAAAGCAATGAATTCAGTAAACTATTGAACAATTTAGAGTTCAATATATTTATATTTCATTAATATATTTTTGGCGTTCTTTACGATTGCCTTTTATTAGTTTTCAAAACTGTTCACTATGGCGTCATGGACTAAGAAAATTACGCGAAAATTTCCTATGTGATAACGTCTTACTGAAAGTCTAAAGTTCACATTCCTAAAATAACCTCATATTTGAACCGCACAAAGTATCTACCGCCCATAGCCGGTATGTTTTATTAAATTATAGAATATTGACAATAGCGTCACGATCCAAAAAGACAAGAATTTCTTGTTGTTAAGTAGTCTGTCTTTCATTTCTAGTGGGAGGAAAAGAAATGAGATCGATCGAGTTTTTTATGTTCCAAGTGTTCTCACTGTAATTATCAGTTTTATCCGCTGATCTGACAGAGTTTTGAAGCTAGTATAGGATTATATTTTTAAGAAAAGTGATAGAAAGTGATTGTATATACATGTAAATTTATCTTTCTAACAACACTTGGTGACATTCATAAGCTTGATTAATTCGTATCGACAAACTCTTGGGGGTTGCGGTGGGGGTGTGTGTGAGGGTGTGTGAGAGAGAAATTGAAAGGTTCTTGTTGTAGATGGAAGCTAGACAGGCGTTATTATAAGCTATCGTATTACTTAAATCTGCCACCCTTATAATTAAATCACAAATTTTTGCTACGGTTACTATAAGAATTTCCGGTGGAGAAGTGAAAGAGGTCAACTTGTTTCAAGCCATCTTGTTAGCTCTACCTTGTTCCATTTTATATAGAACTTGGACTTCAGTCTTGTTTATCTGTATTATCGATGTTGGAACACTTAACTTTCTTGTCCAATAAAATTTCACCACAGTTTTAGTGCCGTAACAACATTATCAATAATCAAGAACTAAAAGGTTCTTAGTGAGTTTAATTGAAATTTGTCCCAATGTATTTATATGAATGAGCCAGACATAAAGCTAGCCACAGGATTGTCTTTACTAAAATATTGAACTGGTTTCGTCAGCGTAAACTGCTGAAAAACATTCTAGAGTGCACGTTTTCAGAACATCATATTTGTGCCGGTGATCAAAGACAATGATGACTGATTTTATTCTTACATTGTTTCCTTTCATCTTCATTACGACAATTTGAGAAGATTGTTCTTCCTTTCGATATCGAGATGTCCGTATGATATCAGAAACACTCCGTTGGTAGGAAAAACTACTTTCGCAAGAATAATCCAAAACCAGTTGTTTTTTTTTTCGTTTTTTTTTTTTAATGTTTCCATGAGATTATATATATTATTTGTACGTGCTTGATGAGGCAATATGGTGCGAAAAATTTAGACAAAATCTATGTGTTTCACTAAAACGATCGATGGCGCGCGCGAGATTAATCATCGATAGCCAAAGTCGGTTGGGCAGGCAGGTAGATCGTAAATATACGTTCAGTTAATGTGTGTCAGAATTGATAATGACATCATGTGATGAATTTGTGATAAATACTTTGAGTGAATTGGATGGGTGGATTGATATATGGGTCAGGTGAGATGAATGGATGTTAGGTGTGTAGGTGGGTGGATTGGTCGGTGGATGGATGGATGGATGGATGGATGGATGGATGGATGGATGGATGGATGGATGGATGGATGGATGGATGGATGGACAAATCGTGAAAGTCCACTGATGATATCACAA